AAAAAAAAAAAAAAAAAAAAACAGAAAGGTTCTCTTTAGAGAAGAAGTGAGACTCTGGAATTAACCAGAAATAGCAATAAAGGACTTTAGATGTAAGCTAGAAATGAATCAAAAGAAGGCATCAGAAACTTAAAGAGATTAGGTTGAAGGCAGATTCCTTTTCTTTAACATCTAGTGATTAAGGTGACAGGAGAAGGGAGGGCTTCTGGGTACAAGTAGCAGAAAATTAAATACTTAATGAACAAATCTTTAAGTTGAAGACTGGCTGAAACAGCTCTTTTAATCAAAGAATACTACATCTTGTGTTCGTAATTTTTAAGTTTGCAAAAATATTCACTTTGCTTTCTAAGATCCACCTTCTTTATTTACTGTAAATTTGTTTAAAATATTGTTGGTATTTAATTACTTTTCTTTTTCTGGTGCTGGGGATTGAATGCAGTGCCTTTACTTAGAGCTACTTCCTTCTTATTATGAGACGAGTTCTTCTTACATTGCTCAGGCTGAATTCAAACTTTCAGTCTACCTGCCTCAGCCTTCCAAAGTACTGGGGTTACAGTCAAGTACCACCATGCCATGTCATCACTGTTATTTAAGAAATTATAAAATTTGACTATGCTCTATATTATGTTAATTAAAAAGTTAGAAATAAGGTTGTACATTGTATAAAAGTATTGTGGTTCTTTTCCTTATTTTACTTCAAATGAATTAGGTAGGTAGCAATGAAATGCTTTTAGAAAGCTTGAAATCTAATTTCAAAGGGTTGAAATATATTACTTGAACTTTTCCTTTTGCTTTGAGTTTACCTGATGTTCAAAGGAAATCCAGAAGTCAAAAATTACAAAAAGAAGGCCAGTCAGATAGCTCAGTGAACTAAGTGCATGCTTAGGAAAGTGCAAGGACCAAGGTTCAAGTCCGAGCTGCGTAGTGAGATCCTGTACCAAATACATTTAAAAAAATATTTACAAAAAGACAAAAACAAAACAAAAAAGTACTTGATAAAAAGCATAACTTATTTATTTTAAAATTAGATTATATTTCTTTGTTATCTTTTAAGCAAACATGATAGCAGGCATTACAGATGTTTTATGTGTATATACATACACATATATGCATATATCTGTATATCAGTGTGTATGTCTACACAATAACTAAGAGCAAGAGAAAACATGATCTTAAGTGTGTTTGTGTGTCTGTGTGTGTGCAGTGAGACACTGTCTCTAGGCATGGCCAGGTACAAAGGTTCATCATTTAAGTCTGAAAACTAAATAAACATCTGAGTTTATGATTATTTTATTGAGCTTTCTTATTTTATGGCCCACTAATGGCTCATGGATCAGTTATATTGATGAGTACCCAAGACCTACAGCTTCCATGAGTTTATTTATTCATTCATTTATTGTTTTTATTTTAAAGTGCTGTGAAGAAAATGCTTAGTTCAGTCTTACTTTCACTTATCATAAACCATTGAAGTGTATTTTTTATTATACAGAAGGAATTAAAATAGATGTTGCATGTATCTAACCAGCAATTTATATGCTGCTTTTCTAGTTTGTAATACAAATTGAATTCTAAGTTTGATTGTATGCTTTATTATTATTCACTATTAGATTTGTTTCATTTTATACTTTTTAAGTTAAACTTATTGAAAAATTAACCTGGTTGTGCCCATAGCATTTGTGATTAGGTAATACAATGCGAGTGTAGCTTTTGAAATTTGTCCTTGTTTGGTTTCTCCATGTACTGTAGTTCTTTATGTCATATCTTACTGAAAGTTTTTAATGATAGAACTAGGGATGTAGCTTAGTGGATAAGCATTAGCCTGGCACCTGCAAAGCTGTGGGTTCAATTCCCAGCACAACAAGAGCAGACAAATAGAAGGTGGAAATTCTTTCTCATGTAACTTGCTGGGGGAACTTCCATGCATGAAGTTTACTTCCTGAAGAAAGAGGGATGAGGTGGAGCAATGAGTCTGTTTCATCTTCCAAATTTGCCAACTGAAGGAGCCCCGTCCGGCCCTCCAGGGCCAGGTCATAAAGGAGCGGAGAGTGACTCCACTTCCTCAGGAAGAAAGCCCAGGCTTGAGGAGCAGGTATGCCTTCACCAAGTATTATGATTTTTACTCTTTAAAAGTAGGTTTTGTTAGGGCTGGAGAGACAGCTCAGTGGACCAAGTGCCTGCTTAGGTGTGTGCAAGGACTCGGGTTTGATTCCCACAACACATTCTGCTCTGTCCCAGACCCCAGGCACACTGAGCCAGGGATCAAGACTGGGCGTGGTGGCACACGCCCATAATCCCAGTGCTGGGGAGGCTGAAACAGGAGGATCACTACAAGTCCAAGCTGCATAGACCCTGAAGCAAATCTCTCTCTCTCTCTCTCTCTATAGATAGATAGATAGATAGATAGATAGATAGATAGATAGATAGAGATAGATAGATATAGATATATATCCCAACACCGCAACTAAAAAAAAAAAACCAAGTAGATTTTATTTGAAGTTTAGCATGAAGATTTATTGAGTAGAATGTGGGGATGATGCTTGCCTGTAGTGCCAGCTACTCAGGAGGATACCTGCACCCATGACTTCCAGGTCAGAGTGGGCAACAAATTAAAAAAAAAAAAGATTTTTATTAACATAGTAATTGCTAATATGACTTATTCATGATTAAAGTAGAGCAAATGAGTATTTAGAATACAATTAGTCTCCTTCCAAATCCTTTTTTTTTTTTTATGAACATCTTGTCAATTTTACTTAATTGGATTTTTGTAGTTTGTAGGAGTGAAATGGGAGCATTGCCAGTTTTATTTTGAAAATTATAATTATTT